TCGCTGTCGCGGGGCAGCAGCAGAAGCTTCGGGCCCCCACGGTTCGGAACGTGGAGCTCCAGCCTGTAAGGCAGGGCGGGTTTCTCTGCCCTTCACGAAATCTAAAGTACTGTTGGTACCTTACTTCCAAAGTAGGCATACCGTCCACAACCAGTCAGCCTTGGAGCTCATCTGCCGCAACCTTCACGTAGCTCCTAGCGCGGCGTTAGGCTGGGAAATCCGAAAGGCCAATCCTGAGTTCCCAAACTTGGCAGATGTCCGCTTCCTTTGGGCATCCCATCGGGAAAGGAAGTCGGAGCAGAGACTCGGGAGGAGCTCCGACCCGAAGCGGCCGATCCACAGTGCCATTGCCTCTCTTGGACCTGGGCAAGTATGCATGTAGCACGGTAGCAGCTGAGGGCCTATGTACTGCCCATACGGAGTAGTACCGTACGGTAAACGGATACCTGACCAAGTCCCGGCAACCACTTCGGGATCTCTTGCCTCTGCCTTGCGAGGGTCGGTTCGGTCACGGGTGGACCGTTATTGACCGTGGCAGGCGTAGATCGTGGTGCAGCTGCCTTGGTCGTGAACCCTGGCCAATCATGAAGATCCTGGTAAACTGCGTAGTTGTGCGTAGGTACCTGTTGTGGCTGGTGTCAGTCTTGCTTGCTCATTCCCCATCCCTAGCACGCAAGCAGTGACGTATCGTGGTAAGAGTCAAACGAATCTGCCCCTCTCTCCGTCGTCAGTCTTGCTGGATTATCATCTTGAAGCAAGATGTCGTCGTGTATCTTGCGATGGCCGAAATGGCAATGTCCCAAAGTGAGCAGTTTGGAAGTGGACAAGACCTCACCCTGGTGAGATACCAACGCTCTTCAATATCCATCAACAGCTAACAAACAGATCATTATCCCACGCATACTCCGTACCTCGTACCCAACGTCGAACTAAGTACTAAACCCCCGCCAAAAGGACCAACAACGGCATCCAGCCATATCCAGTCACACTTTCTTTCTTTCCGCTGGCAAGCTCTTCTGGATCTAGATGGGGGGCCTTTCAAAGTTCAAGGGCCAGGCCGACGAACCAGATGATGTGCCGTGGCTAAAAATGGTCAGCCCAGCCTACCTTACGGGATACATGTGTAGGTACGGAGTACTTCGTGCGTCCACAGGGACCCGTCCGCCCTTTCAAGTTCCGGACCACCAACGCCCACCCGTCCGTATGATGATTTAGCACAGCCACAGGCCTCGAATCGTACGTTTTCACTCCCACCTTCCTCCCGTCAGATTGCACCAGATTCTCCCGTCTGCTTACTTTGCCTCAGCGTCCATTGGCTAGAAGCCATCAATCTCACTCTTCTGAGCTCTTCATTGGTGAATCTTGACTGTGGCGGCTATCCTCTTGGGCAGTGGGGGGTGTTGAAGGGTTGAAGGTGCTGCCAGCCTGCGTTGCCTGCTCGTCCCACCAGGAAGGGGTGTGAAGGGAACTCGCCGGGCCTTGTTAGTGGGTGGTTCCCTCTGCGCAGCGAGTCACACTCAATCTCCCCATGCCCGCCCTCGTCCGTTTTCTGCCTCTTTTGACGCCAAATCGCATGTTTCGTGCCCCCCCGCCCGCCGATTTGGGTCCAAGTTGACAGATAGGAGCGCGCGCGCCGTAAAGATACATCACAAATGTACGCAGTACCTACCTGTGGCATTCGTACAAATCATCCTACTGTGGTACAAGTCAGAAGGAGAAAGTGGAGGAAGGGGAAAGCGAAAAAAAGGGTCCCCCTGGTGCCTGGTCTGGTGCCACGCCCACCATCCACGCCTACCGCGCAGTTCGTCTCTTTGCCCACGACTTCCAGCCCAAATATAATGCAGCCCGTCTGCTCCCCCTCATAGCCTGCCTTCTATCATCTTGTTTCCCATTCTCCCTTTCAAGGATTCTAATAATAACCGATCAAGCCCTATTACCACCATCCTGCTCTGCCTCTGCCACCAGAGCCGCGTGTCGATAACTCCACATCCAACTTGCTCTCAGCCTCACTATACCTCTTATACAAAGCACGCGACCACCTCTCTACAACTACCTGAGAGCTTCTCCGTCTCTTCACATCCTACAACCTACAAACAAGTCTTGTTACACGACAACCTCACACACCAACTCCAAAATGTCGCCCACATACACCATGTCCGCACACCTGTGCAAGTCTATCTACGCCTCATGGCGCGAAACCCGCCGTTCGCCTTCCGATCTGCCCTCCCCCGGCGTCCAGGCCCCCAGCATGACCTCCTACTTCCCTCGCAGCCCTTCTCCTGAGAAGCGCTCCATGGACAGCGACCGCAGCGAGACCACCGTTCCCATGTCTCGATCACCGTCTGCCTCCTCGTGGCGCGGACCCAAATAGATGGCGACTGTACGCATCTCGGTCGGCTCTTGGACCCTGAGCATGAAGCTTTGAGCTTCAGCTTGGGGTGTTTATAGAGCTCTCCACAACCACTCTTATCTAGTTGGACCAAGTAACACATCATCTGAACTTGGGATACTGGGCTACCTGCATGTACGCATTTACGATAGTCATGGAAACCGGAAAGGCGTCAAGGACATTGGAATTCGAAAACAACAACATCAATCTTTCAAAGCTGGACTTGCAGCATGCGAGCTCAAGTCCACCCCACCGTGCCGACGTTACCTCCAACCGGCGCCGCTGACTCGGTCGCTTTCGCGTTCGGGTGCCTTATCAACAGCGGGACTTTTACAGAGAACCACCAGCCAAACGCTCAATTCTACCTTCGTTCGATTGAGAGTTTTCCGGATTTACAGCATCGGGGAGTTTACGGCGCACACAACACAATCAATCAAACATTCACGCCAGATTCCGGCAGTTTTTGGGTGGGGTTGGGAGGAAAGGGACGTAAATCCGAAAAGGTTTCGTCCGTCACGCCATCAGGGTCGGGCATCACATCAAGCCCACTTTTCTTGTCTCTTTTGTACTCTCGGCTTCGTACCAATTCCTCTTTGCAAGTTGCTGCTCGTACCATCAGCAGGCAGGGAAAGGGAGTTGAGAGCCCCCCTCCATGATTGTATCGCCGGCGGGGCACGCGGAGGAAGGTGGGATGTGAAGGGGAAGGGGCAACATTATCGTTCGAGAGACATGCAAAGCTACGACATTCGTCTCCATCTTTGCTTTGCCCCCTCCACCCCTCCGACTCTCTACCTGCGTCTGCTTGCCTTGCATTTGGTATCTTTTTTTTTTCTTGTTCTTCTTTAGCAGAGCCTCCAACACTGGCTCCCGTGTATGGAATAGATACCCCCAAATAAATTGTTCACATCAACTTCTTTCTGTGCCACCATCGCTATTCTTGGCAACTGTGATTGAAACATTGTACTCACAAAGTCGGTCCAATGTCATCACAAATTGTCTAAAATGCCCCGTCTACAACCGAGTGACCCTCTTCACGTGCCAAGTTTCCTCCTAACCAACTTCAGCCCCTTCCATGGACCATACTCCGTTCATACACGTGTAGGTCCACATCCGACTTCCGACACCGACTCTTCTCGAACCCCCCTCTCCCTTTCCGAACCGGCACTTCTCTGTTATCAATCAGTGATCGTCGGGCGGAGCCCCCCCCTTACTGCCTACGTACATTATTATCGCGTACCATCAGTACGGAGTCCTGCGTATGAGGCTATGAGCGATTTGGGGGGTAACTTACCCCACATGAGCCACACATTGAGTGCATCTCCAACCAACCCTTCAAGAGTCCGGACTCCGAAACCAGGAACAATCGTAGCTCAAGAGTAGAGTCAGTACACAGTAGACCGCTGTCGACCCGGCCCCACCATGACGCAACGAGGGGGTGGAAAAACTTGGGAAAAGCTCACGGGAAATTCCATCACCCTAGTTCACGCGAGACCAACACCAGAACGAATGACTGGGCGAGAGAGGAAGATCGAGGGAGAGAGAGGCGGGAATCCACTTTGGTTTACCTTGGTGGAGGACCGGACCTGCATTGGAATTGAGACTGAACATCAGACACTAGGGAGGACTCGGGAGGGCCCCCTCCACTGATGAGCATGATGATTTTAGTCTCTGCTTGACGTGACTACGCCGCACCGCGTCGTGCGCGTCAAGCTGTTCACCGTGATCTCGTCGGAGGACCTTCGTAATAATGGAAGAAGGGGGTGGTTTGGGGTTCCTCTCTCTCGCTTTAACGATCATCCAGCATCCCACTTACCCTCCTCTCAATTTCGTCACCGTGCACGGTCGCCGTTCCCGAGGGTCAGGGGCTCCGTAGACCGGATCCCGCGTCCGACTCGGTTCATCCGTGACCTTGCCGTCGCTCTGTCCGGACCGGGGGGCCAGCCGTCAACCATGTACCGATGGATGGCTAATCCATAAAGTCTTTGGTCATCGTTCAATGTCCCAAGTAACCAAGTCTCACCGTACATCAACACCATTTGGGCGCGTCTTCCACTTCTTTCTCCCAAGGACGTTGTTTACCACACTTTTATACTATACTATTTCCTCACATACACATATTGCGAGATTCATCACTCGGGAAAGAGATTGTAAATAAAAGTTGGGAAAACCCGCGGTCACGAGATTGTGGGAGTTGCGCTGTCACTTGACCATTCTGCAGTTCTTCCTCCCCATCCATCATTAAAGAGAAGAACCATTCCACAGCACTGCACCCTCTCTCAAACCCCTACAGATTTATGCCAAAAGATGACAGAACAAAAAGAAGCAAAAAGAAAAAGGCTAGCAAGTCTACTTAATCCGAATGCGTTGAAGCTCCCTCAAGGCACTAAACAAGATTCCTCATCAAATGAAAAGTAAACCGCCATAAAACCGTCGACGATGCTGCTCTGCTGCTCCCCCACCCTCCGACTCAGTCCCTCCTCCACCTGCACCACACGCACCCCTCCTCACCGACTCACTCACTCACTTCGGTGGTGCCCCACCCCTCGCGTCATTCTCACAGCTTCACCAAACATCCTCACTCTCTTCTACCGTTCCGACCTCATCCCCTCTCATACAACGGTTCAGCCGTCACCCATCATTCATCACCCATCATCACCACCGTCTCATCACTCACTCACTCACTCTACCCCACTCCACTCCACCACTCGACCTAACACAAACACACACACACATTCGCGACTCCCAACTTCTTCCCACTGACACTCCCAAGAAAAAGGGGCCAACTCAGCCAACCAGGCATCCCCATGTCGGCACACGGCAACATCACATGGAACCTCCAAAAACTTCTCCTAACGGATCACACTAGTATCATCCTTGAATAAAAGACCTGACCAGGAAGAAAAAAAAAAAGGGATGAGGGCCATTCGCGAATGACGAACAAAGAAATAAAAATCAATTAAACCCCCAGTCAAACTCTCAACCTCGTCAATGCCTAATAATAGGAACTAACCCCCTCCACATTCTCCATCCTAACTTCATCAATGCCATGAACAACTCTCCCCTTACTTAGACTCTAGCCGGTCCTTCTAGAAGAAAGTCATGAAATGATTTTGGTCCCATGCTTTGCTCGTTCCCTACGCGATTCGTGTAGTCCATCATCTCCAGCATGGCGCCCAACCTCGCAGAGTCTCAATCAACGCTGTTGCACCCTTCCCTACATCGTGGGGACATGCACTCATCTGGGGCCTCACTGCAGGCAGGAAACTTTCCCTTTTGGACCTCAACGCATCAATTCATTGGTCACCACATCACATTTGGCTTCATCATGAACCAGGGGGCCCGTTTTACAGAAAACTGACATGTTGCTGCATTCATTCAAAGCGAGCGAGCGACATTGCTGATCCCCCACCTCGCCAAGCAAGGCCCTCCCCGCACCCTAGACTCTCCCCTACTCTCGTTTTCTGTACTCTGTATTTCGTAAAAAAGTGTTGCCTCTGATCCAATCATGTGTGTGCTCTCCCACATCCCGTGCCCTTATGCTCGGTGCCGTAATCGCTGCAATCGCTGTACTACTGTCGCATTCAGCCATGTCGTGTGTCTGTTGAAAGCCACCAACGTCGCAGAAGCGAAACCACAGGAGACAAGCTCGACGCGGCTCATGCGAAGGGCGAGGAAATCGCCCAGTTCTTCCACAACGCCGTTTTGTTGTCTACCTCTTCTTGCTCCTCTATCTTCCAGTCACTGATAGGTACTCGTATTCGGAACCGCTGGCAAAACGCACATGGCGCCCGAACCGCTCACACGCAACGCGAAGACGGCGACTCTACATGGCCGACGCAGCGTGCGTGGTGATGCCGGCGCTGGCGTTCGGAGTATCTTCGCCACTGGATGACTCTTCGCTGCCGAGGCTGCCTCCAATACGGCGTTTGGCGTCCTTCTTCTCGGCATCGGTGACGTCCTTTGCGTCCTTTCGCATGTCGGGTTCCCACTGAGGCTGGTCGGGGGCGTGTCCGACAGACATGCCTACGCGAACCTACAAATAATGTCAGCAGCTACTTTCGATAAGGGGGGCTTTTGAGATATAACTTACTAGGGTCTCGAGAGCCCCGTTGGAGTTGTCAGTCAGGTCGTCATCGAACTTCATCTTGCCCGGCTCGAATAGCAATACGATCGTGCTGCCACCAAATTTGAAGTAGCCGAGTTCATCGGCACGATTCACTTGCGCGCCCTCCTTCTGCGTAATCACAGTACTGCCAACCATCATGGCACCAACACAGATGACCATGACGCGGCCGTGAGTCGGGCTATCGATTGGGCAGAGAACTCGGACGTTTTCGCCGTAGACATCGAGAGCGGAACGGATGGCCATGGGGTTCACCGTGTAATATTCTCCCGCAATCGTCTTGGGCTTGCCCAAAACACCATCCACAGGGATGTGGAAGCGATGGTAATCCTGGGGCGCCAAACGGAAGATACCAAGAGCGCCATTCTCGAACCGCTTCACGTCTTCGGGATAAGCATCACCAAGCAAGCGCTTGATGGAGAACTCGCGGCCCTTGATCCAAACCTGGGTCGCCTGGTTCACACTGTTGAAGACAACGCTGCGACAGTCGGCGGGAGACACGACAACGTCAGGACGGTCAGGGGCCGAGCATGGGCGAGCTTCGGGTTTCAAAGCTCTGTAGAAGAACTCATTGAAGTTCTTGAACTCTTCTGTTGGAAGGAGCACCTCAGACATGTCGAGGCGGTGGAACTCAATAAATTTGGGGATCTCAGCCTTAGAAGCCGGATCATCAAACTTCTTGCCCTGCTTAACACTCATGCTCTTGAGCATCTTGCGAACTAAAATAGCATTGTCAGTCGAGCTTCTCGTGAACTACCTGCATCAGAAACTTACTTCGCTTGGTCTCCATGTTGCTCGACTTCAGTCCCTTGTACAACAGGCGAATGCCTAGTCTGACGTAGACGCTCATCTTCTCCTCGTTGATTTGGCCAGTGATTCGGTCTTGCACAAGGATATTTGCGGAATTGGCTCCCAGCTTGTAACCGCCGTACGAGATCTTTGTGATGACCTTGGAGTACCACTTGCGCTGGGCCTGGCTAGCGGTGACGAAGCCGCCCATGACGAGGTTGTTGACTTGTCTCCAATCCTGGCTTGCGCAGGTTGCAATGTGAGTGATGATGTCGGTATCCTTGCGCTTGTTCAAGCGCGGCTGGTGGCAGATGGGGCACTCTCTGATTTCGACCACATGCTCCTCGCCGGCACGGTCCTCAGCCAGGTCGTCCCGGTCGAGCAATTCACCTTCCTCGCCAGGAGTGCTGAGCTCCGGAACGTCGAGAGTTCCATCGGATGAGCTAGACCCTTCTGCCGGTAGACCGCCGGGAACGTTGCTGGTGCCTTGAGCAGAGAGCAGATTCTTGACCTTGTCAGCATCCGGCAGCATACCCTTCATTCTGTCTGTGACGCTGAGTTGTGGGCGGCTCTTAGCCTCCAACTGATCCTCCAAGCATATCACAGCTTCGTCGAATGTCAGGTCCGATATGTCATCGCCTTGGGCTCTGTGGGGGAAACGCTGGAAGAAGCTATCAATGGTTGACTCGCGCAACGTTGATCCGAGGGTGTCAAGCATCGTAGTCAGCTCGATCTTGCTGATGCGGCCGCTCTCATCGGTGTCGTATTGCTTGAGCATCGATCTCCAAAATTGTTGTCGCAAAGCCGGGTAAGGGACGTATTTGGCGCGGATGTAGAGGACCGGGTTGTGCTTGGCCTCCCACTTCTTGGCGTCCTTCATCTTCAGGGCGACGCTGAAGTCGTGAAATTCCGCATCGTCTGCCTCAAGCTCGGCAGTTTGCGCACCGGCTCCTGCGAGGGCTTGCTCAGGAGACAGGAACTCAGGGTTCAAAGTCGACCCCTGGGCGGGAGGCGTAGGCGTTGTTGTTCCGGTCTGGGTAGTTGTGGATGCACTGCTTGCATTCTTCGACAATCCAGGTCGCACCTTGCTCAAGCTTTGGGAAGATGATGTACGGGACATTCCTAGCTTCTTGAAGCGGCGCTGTTGAGGGGCGACATACTCATGGGGTTCGGGTACGTCGTACAGACCAGTTTCGGGATCTGCCTGGGGGGCCTTGTCAATGAGCTCCCTGATGGGTAATGAGCAGTCGGCGATGAAATCATTTCCAGAGTACTTGTCGTGATCCATCACGGTAAAGGAGAACGAGTATGTCTGCTCGTGACCCTGTACTTGGAAAATCATCTTCTCGTTGAAGACCGGGTTGAGATTGTGCCGCACTCGCTTGGTCCGATACGTCTTCTTGCCGAGTGACGCAACGACGAAAGGATCCATATCAAATGTAGTCCGGGTCGAGTTGGGCTCAGGGGGTAGATCCGTAATGTTCAAGACTTCAAGATAGATGACTCCCACAACGTCGCTTCCACTATTATTGAACTCGTATGTTTGGTCTCTTCTCTTCTTCTTGAGGCCCTTGATCCTCAGGCGTCGCTTGCGTTTCTCGGCGACTTCGGGTTTGCTGGGATCGTCGTCCTCGGGAGTATCATCTTCGATATCCAGATCATCGTCATCGTCATCTTCTTGGTAGGCGTCGGTTTGGTTGCGCGACAGGGGAGGTGACGGGTTTGTTCCGCTGACCCTCATATTCTGGACCGGCTGGATGAGGGGGGTCATGGTCGGTGTGATTTGTCGGGAGCCCGCAGGCAACTGGTTGAGCAGGGCATTGAGCTTCTCGAATACTTGTTCGCGGGAAGCGGCTGTGTTGGACTGGTCGAAGAGGGTGAACTGGAGCATGACCTCGCCAGAGACCACGCTGGTCTTCTTGCCGGGTCTCTTGCTCTTGAGAGGGTACCATTTCGGGGCTTGCTCGATTTGCTCGTTGGCGAAGATCTCCTCCAAAGCAAGGTCGAACTCGCCAAGGTAGTCCTTGCCGAAGCGGTCCTTATCCCAGCATATAACATCGAGAAGGAGGCTCTGGGTCGAATTGACTGGTAGTTCTTCGATGACGTTCCATTCTGGATTGAGAGTCTTGGGCACTTCGTGGGTGGTCACCTTGGCGTCACCGAGTGTCAAAACCAGGTACTAGAAGAGTTCATGTTAGACAATGGATAACGGAAGCGCGCGTGGGTTGGATTCGAATTCGTACTGGGTCGGATGTGCCGCGTCTGTCTTTTGCGGCAAGATTTCGAGCCTAATATGCATCAAGCGTCAGCAATCGTGTGTCTTGTGTGTTGGCTACCCAGCTTGGATCCGCGCATCGGCGCTACAATGCCAAAGTTATCTTTACCTTCATAACGACGACCTTCAAGGTCAAGCCATTCTCCTTTGGACTCAGCTCCATCTTGCTGTTGGTGCTGCCGGTGCTGTTGTTTCTCGTAGGACTGCTGCTGCGGCTGTTGCGGAGGGAGGAGCTGGACTTGAGTCGTCCAGGGATGATGCGGACCATGGTGGACGACGGCGGGTCGGGGAGCGGCCCCTAAAAAGAGTTGCGGCAAGCCAAGAAGAGGGTTTGGAGGGCGCAGGGCACACGACGTGTGTGTGAGGGCGACAAGCCAAGAGCAGACACACTCACGGGCAGAGCGGCCAGATTGGGGGGGCGGGGTGACGTAGGAGACGCAATGCGGAGCGCTGGGAAGCCTTAGGTCGCGTCAGGTACTTGCGGTACCTTACGTATTTGGCTCCAGCGACTATCCAATTGTCATGACCCGACAGGCGAAATGTCCGACTTGTTTCTGGGGTGGGCGTACACAGCAAGGCAGTCCTTCTTTTTCGACCTCTCACACACCTCGGCTTGCTGTCGCTGTTGCTTATTGCCGCGCTCGAATTGTTGTTGGCAGGGCCCAAAGGCGTAGGTAGTGAGTGGAGCGGTGGTGCTGGTTGGAGGTGGGCAGTGGCTTGCGGCAAGCAGGCAGAGGCGCGCGCGCTCAGGAGATGAGGTAGCGCAGCTGCAAGTGGTGACAGGGTTTCGGTAGTAGTGTAGCTTGCTGGTTGCTGATCCGCGCTTCTCAACGAGTGCGACGCTGCGTTCTGTTCGTTGCGATATGTGCTTCCCTGCCAACTGGACAGCTCAACGACGCCGGACAGCGAAAGGTGGCGTCTACTCAAGATAGCTCTGGACGAATTGGCGATGACTGGCGAGCCACACGTAACAATTGCTGTCGGATGTGGTTGGGGAGGCCTTTTGGTAGCGTGTCGAGCAGGGGCCTTTGGTTGCCTCGACGTACAGCTGAAGACCAATTCAGGTTCAGGTTTTGACCTCGCAGGGTGGGAACCGTCAATGACCTTGAGATGAAGCCAATGTCAGTATTGGTCGATGATGGATCTCACGGAGGAAAGAAATGTCTACAAGTAGCAGTAGGTGAGAAAAAGGGGAAGGGCTGGAAGCAGAGAGCAACGAAGAGAAGAAGAAGGGAGAAGAGAGATGAGGTAGGAGCTTGGGGCCCCTTGAGGGCTGATGTCTGAATAATAAGAGGCCCGGGGTCGAGAATGGAAAGTTGAGTGAACAAATGTACAGATTTAATTATGTGGCTTCGATGCACATCCAACCTGGCGCCACCGCCATGTGCAACTGGAACGAAGGAGTAAGCTAGGGAGAAGGGCCCGACAGGAGGAACCGACAAAAGGGTAGGGTATTAGAATGATTTAGACGCTTTTTTTTTTTTTTCCTGCGAGCAGAGTCTCGAGGGAAAATAGGAAAAAGGTAGAGGAGAGGGCGAGAGAGACGGGAAGAGAGAACGAGAAAGAGGCAGAAGCAAAGACGTCGCAGAAGTCCACGGCTCAATGCAGGCGGAGGTCGAGGACGGAGAGGGAGCGAGAGCAACTCTGGAGCCTGGCCAGGGGAAAGAGAGAGAGGAGCGGTTGCCCATCTTACGTACCTTGGGAAAAAAAAAATATGGACATGTACTTCTAGTTGAATTGCAAAGGACGCAGTATTCGAGGTACCTTTTTTTTCTTGTTGTTTTTACGTCCGATGTGGCCGTGTATAGACACCAGACAAAACGTATAGCGAGGGTATTCAGGCCGGGCGGGTACTTTGAGATTCGGTGAGATTTTGGTGGTGGAGCGAAGTACCGTCTCGTCTCGTCGTATGTTCCAGCGTATTTCGTCCCAGATACGACGACTACTGGTGGGCAGCGATGGCCGTTGGCTGGGAAGGTCCGCGGGTGCTTCGGCTCGTGGTGCAGTCCCCTAGCGGGCAAAGTGGTCACTGTTTGGGGTGATGTGGGTGCGGTTGGGTGGGTTCACTTGAGGCGTTTGGCGTGGTTTGGGGTGGGAGACGGGATCCTGAGCAGGGAACAGAGCTGGAGACGGATGGAGCTGGAGAGCTGGAGCTGAAGCTGAAGCGGCGTCCAAAGATGGGTAGAAACTCGGGTTGAAAACAGCCAGAAACAGCAATCTCTGGGAAGAACTCTAAGAGAGAAGACGCTGTAGGTCACCTCACCTTACAATGTACACAAGGTAGTGGAGGTGTGTATCACTTGGTACCTTGGTCGCTCGCAGCTACCTAGGCGTTGAGCACGCCTTCGTCCAGGCACTGCTGGCACGCTCATAGAAGCCCAAAGGTTAAAAAGGTGAGGAAGATGGGTACGGAGTACCTAGATCATAGAAGAACCCAAGTAGAGTTCGGGAACGAGAACAGACGACACCAAGAGGGGGAGGTCCGGGCCATGTTTTTGTCTTGCATCTTTTCCTCTCACTACTTCTCAAGGCAAGGTTGTTGAATACTACAAACGTCTGGTAAAGTAGGTAATGTATGGTATTTCGCCCACCCAAGCACTCACCGACCGCACCGGTTGGAGAAGGTGGCCTCTCGTCTTCACGTCATGCGTACACAAGGTGAGGTCTGGTAGGCGAAAGCGAGTTCTATCTGCTGTCTCTGCTTCGTACTACCCAGGTTCGTCCCCAAGGAAGACATGTACCTCGAGTCCTCTAACATTGAGGGCCCCAGTATCCCGTACAGCTCGTAACAATACGTGAGCGAGCATGTGAGTGTGGCATTCCCAATCTTCGGCCTGCCAGAGTTGTACAATTCGAGGGTGGTCAATTTCTGCAGTACGTACCCGCCTAGTCTGACATTGGTGTCAGCTCGTGTACTTTGTGGCTGGGTACATCTCCCGCAAAACCAGTTGTTAAAGTACTTTTGTAAGCAGGAAGATGAGGTACCGCCGTACCGAAATGGAAACACCCAAGGAACGACATCCTCCCGTTTACAAAAGTAACAGAAGTATTCTATACCTGAGGCACTTGAGGTAGGACGAAGTGTTTTTAGACGCTCCTTCCTAATCGCTCCTCAATTCCAATGGCAGCTGCAACCACCTCGGTTTCCTTAGAGTTGAGACACGAATAATTCACTCATAATCTAAGCATGAGATAGAGCAGGCACGCAAGTCCAAGAGCAAGTAGTACCCAAGACCATAGACGGCAAGATAAGGTAAGGCAGGTAGGAATGAGCCGGAACGCCAGAATGCTTGGCCCCCTCGCTGTGGACAGACACAGACAGGCAAGACAGGCACGAAAATGAAGGGCGAGTGCGAGCGCGAGCCTTCGTCTTCGCCTACGCCTACGCCTACGAGTGAGAAACAGCGCACATTCAAACTTGCTTTTGGAGTATTTCACATGTGCTCAGGGCCTAAGGTAACCTTGTTGTTGTTTCTGAACTCCGTCGCAATGCATTTCCACCGCCTCTTCATCCGTTGCTTTCACCATATGGACCATAATCTTCTCATTACTCAAGGCCTATCCCCATCACTCCCCTTCATCATCAGCTGCAGTCAGACACAGTATCTCGGACTCGCACAAGAACCCGTGCCTGACCATCACTGCGCACCTTATTTGTCCATCCTATCAGACTCTCTCCCCAGTTAGATGCAGCTCCCTGTTCTAACCCCATCTCGCCCCAATGCCCCATCCACAGTGGTCATTATGCCATCCCGAATCCCGTCTGTCGCTTGTCCTTTTCCCTCACGTTCGTTCGCTTCCCTGTCAATGTCATCCCCTGCTGGCTTGCTCTCCTCTTCCGCCCCGTCGGTCGCGTGCCTATCCTCTCGGTCGCTTGTCGCCGAATTAGCGACACTCTCGTCTCGTCAACATATCGCGCATCACGACAGACCTCCCAAGTCGAGTTAGCCGCTCCATAGCTACCCCAAGCATTGCCCAACAGCCTGGGTAGCCCCTCTTGGATAGTTATCAATTCATCATCATGTCCGATTTCCCGCTTCAATCCGTTCCGAGTCTCTACCCAGACGCAGCAGGCCACGAATCTTCAGCCGGGACTGAGACAGGCCCAAGTCCTGGTCCATGTCCATGGCCCCAGACGATGCCCCTCCCATCCCCAGAATCTCCTCACTCTACAGATACATACACGCTTCACCCGGCATCTTCCCAAGCAAGTCGAATTCCAGCTCGCCCAGCCAGGCAGAGGACTCTTACTCCAGACCTTTCCCCGTCCCCCTGAAATACCGCTCCAATCCAACGGCTGTCACTTGATTCTCCCTTGCTTCCAGCCAATGTAGCCCGACCTTCAAGTTTCACAACGTGTGCATATCTTTTAAATCACTCACTGTCACGACTGTGTTACTTCACTGCCATGAAATTTTCCATACTTGTCATTACAAGTTCTATCCCCTGGGCCGGGCCTAGATAACTCGTTGTCGGCCTGTCTTGGCCGTTCAATTTATCCTTCTCGCTTCACAGAAACCCCCTCTTCAAAAGTCCCGCCGCCTCCGGTATATCATACGAACCCCATACCGTCTCTCGATGTGGTGTAGTTCGTCGATGGCGCGGCCCCCTCTTCCCCTCCACCTCCACGAATCCAGTCTGTCGGCTTGTGCCCCTCGTCGGTTGCAACAACACCTGCAGCACCGCACCGTGGCCCGTACGACATGGCTGTCCAGAACCCTACAGACGGGTTTCCCTTCTTTCTTTGCTGCCGCGCTTCCGTCGTTCCATCTTTTCTGCCCTATCCGTACGACCCAACTCGGGCATGGGGTGCCGGGCTGCAGGCTTGAGAGCGAGTGTGTGAAAAATGAAGGGCCGACCTTCCTCCATCTTCATTCCCTCCAAGTGCAACATATCGAGAGGCTCTCTGCGCCAAGACCTGATGATGCGTAGGTACTGCACAGAGAAGCCTTCCAATGTGCCGCCCAAGATTCTTGGAGTCTTGGTCGATCTTTCTCCGGCCAAGTGCCAGCGCGGGCCAAGACAAGCGGCTCGTGCCATCTGAACGTCACCTCAACCTTACAACAGTAGTGTGTACCTTAGGCTCAAGGTTGCAGAGGGACTAACAAACGATGAACTGCCAACCGTTCCCATCTTGGCACGGGCAAGCCTCGTCATCAAAACACCCTCCATCTTTGCCCGGCTCTTGTTTGTTAGCTTCTGAGCTCCCAATCATACACACTGGTGGTGGCATCTTCCCCAGACTCGAGGTCAGCTTCGAGAGTTGGCAGTAGCAGAGATAGATGATCGTTGGTCTTGGGATAGCCTGCCAGGTACGGATACAGAGCACGCTCAACAAGTCAAGATTGGCGGCGCCTCCGATGCTGAGGTAATCATGTCAGTCGCCAAGTACTCAAGTACCTCGCCTAAGTAGTAGAGACTTCAGACTTTCTGTGATGAGGAACTCTCTTCACCTTGGTCTTCAGTGTCACACTCACTGCTCCTGGTTTCTCTTTACATGCACAATCTGAATAGAGAGCCTTAATAATGAGCATATTGGACCCGGTATACATGTAAGTTTTCCTATTTCCTAGCCTCCTGTGTTCTGAGCCCTATACGGCAAAGACCTACTCTACATAGGTAAGGTACCATAGGTAGTGACCTAAAAATTGCATGGCGCTAGAACACAGTGAGCGAAAGCCTGGTGGGGCACGGGCCGTCTGGACGTCCCGGCGATCCGAGCTTCAGGCTTCAGCTCCTACGGCCTACCGTCGTGCCATCGTCAATCCCACTTAGACGGGGCGGCCACGACCAAGTTTCTCGACGCTTTTTCTAAGGTCGCTTCCGCCGGGCCCAATCCAATTCAGCCGAAATCACTCGCTCGAATCATACCCAGGCCAATAGACAACAATAGGGTGAGACAGGCAAGCTGACATTGGTGTTCCGGCTCACTCAAAAGGAACATGTGCGTAGACGGATGAGTCCAGCAGGACGTCCAACGATCGGCCGGTTTTTTCAATGCCACTTCGTCAGCTCACGCCCATCTTCGTCAGAATGACTCTCGAGTCTCTTTCACAGCCTCTTCCTATTCGATTTGCTTTTAGTCTCTAGAGTCTACGCAGTACACCATGGCCCCTTTCTTGCACTTCGCTATCATCCAAGGCAACGAGAAGCAAAAAAAAAAAAAAAAAAAGGCCAAGTCAAATTTCGGCTTCGATCCGCCTGCACAGCATCGGCTCCAAGACCCGGAGCCTGCAAGCCAAGCCCAAGCATTCGAGGCCTCCGGCAACGAGAAAGCAAATGATAATGAATCGTCCTCACCCAAGGTAATTAACGGCCATTAATGACCCCATTCCCTCCTGAATCTCCAAGACTTCTCAGCCATGCCAGCAAACGTAACCACCCACCCACTCCTCAACCCTCCTTCAACTCAAGACCCGTCTTGGCCTTCCATCTTTCGGTGGCTGCCCCCGGCTTAGCCTTGGGGTGGAGGGGAGAGGCTCCAGTTATGACGCAGGGCTCAGCGCTCACCCACCACCCACTACGCCAGAGTGAAAGGAGCAACTACGGCCTTTTGCTCGATCGAGGCGTGCCCCAGCGATGGCAGGGCCAAGCGACAAGCCTCGAGGTCTCTTTTTCCGGCCGGATACCCGTCCGCGTGGAGCTAAACTGGGCGCTCCCGACTCCCGAGGGCCCCGACGCGGACGACATTGATTCCTTTTTCGAATACTTTTCTTCCAAGTCCTTAGGAGCATTACCCCATCGGCATCGTTAGACTACCTACCTAATTAGTTCCCTACCCATTTTGTCATCCCAAGTGGCTTGACGTTCTCTACGGATACCTACTACATACCTATGTATGTGCTCGGCCCGTAGTTGATACAAATCACCGATCGATGGCTGTCTAGCCGTCTCTGGTGTGGCGCTTCATCGGTGTTCACGCTGTGGGATACCGGTAGACGTAGGGGAGGTCAGGCTGGCTTTGGCTTGCTTGCTGCGGCTTGTGACGAGCGGCGCCATGGGCATGGAGTTGAGGCTGGTTGTCAATACCTACTGAGCGAGGGGTATCTCGGGTCTGAGTTAAGCTGTCCAGACCTTGATATCAAGCGTGCCTACCTTATATTGTCTTTTTGAGCCGTAGTCTGCCGTAACATGGGAGATAACCTTATTTCGGTATCTGTTGTCTTTTGTATGGTAGTCCTCGAAGCTTCTTCTCATCCTCCGACTATACTCCTGGGCACATTGCGTTGTTCGAGCCTGGAAGACATCATGCTGGCCATGGGAATCACACCGCGGTCTGGTAGGACAACGGTTTGATCAAGTAGATCATAGCCATGTGACACTATCAAGTACATATCATGCTCATCCCCGACAACAGCATGATTATTGCATTCTACTACAGAAATACGATGCGATAAACTGCCAACGCAGGATTGCTTAAAAATGCACCATTACTCAATCGACGTTCGTCTCCTCTAAACATCAATTCTGTTTCTTTCCTCAACTCAAGAGACACTGTGGAGACGAGTGGGCGTTATAGAACGTTCAGTGCAACGGGTAGAAGTCTGCATGTGGGAGCCGGCAATGAAGTCCAGTCTCTGTTTATTCGTCCATCAACTTTGGGGAGAGACTTCTCATGAGGTAGACATCTCGAAATTGATATTGATGTTTGGTCGGGTATTTCGATAGTGAGAACTCTTCCAGTACTCATCTTGCTACTCCGATGAATGAAAGTAGCATCGCATCGCATTCCAAAGTTGCGACATATCCATCACCAGGAACCCGACCATCTATTCATCTTCAGAACAAACACATCGTATCCTGGCATTCATTTACAACCCTCACAACCCCATTCTCCTCACCGGCCCAGTCCTCCTCCTCCTCCTCTTCCCAGCCCCCATCATCTTCACACTCTCCGCCCAATCCCCAGTCCCATTCCCCGGATCCGCGTCCGTCGCCTTCCTCTTACAAACACTCCCCGCCCTAGCCTTCCCATTCGGCCCATCCACCGCCTCAAACTCCCTCTTACTCTTCAACCCGGTAACCATGGTCCTGGCCGCCTCCTCGAGCCATCCATTCACAAAGTCCCCGTGGAAACACCGGCTCCCGCCGCACGCGAGCTCGATCGGCGGGTCCCCGCCCTTCCAGCCTCCGGGGATCGCCTTCTTGGTATCGTAGCGTATACTGAATCGCAGCTGCGGCATCCTCTTCATCCCGCCCGCGCACGCCCCTGTCTTCCTATCAGAGTAGGCAGATTTAAGGGTGGTTTCGTCAACGCAGTCCGGGAACCACAGGACCGCCTGTAAAGAAGTCGAGCACGTGTTCTGCGGGAACTGGGAATGTTCTTTCCCGCCTGCGTCGAAGGCTTGGTTCTGGCAGAGCCACGTCACGTCGGAACCGGGGACCAGGTCCGCTTCCGTCGAGGCCTTGGAGTTGCCCGCCACGACGGAGAAGTTGGGCGGGATGGGCACCTCGGCCGGGTCCTTGTCAAAGTTGTAGTAGGCTACGAACGAGACCGGTTCGATGGGCGTTCGGGTTTCGCCTTGGACGTGGTAGAGCGTGGGGATCCCTAACGGAGGGGTGTTAGTTGAGATTGCTCGCTATAGGACGAGTGGCGGGAGGGAGAAGGAGAATAAACATACAATATACGGAAAAATCATTCGGGTTCTGCGCCGTAGAACACCCCTTTTGCAACTCGGCCGTCGAGCTCATGTTCACCCTCACCGCGTCGCTGCCGAAGAAGCTGTGCATGTGGCTCTTGTACTGGCCCGGGATGACGATGGGATCGATGTTCTTGCGCATGAAAAAGTCGACTTTGGTGTTTGTAAAGGCTGCCGCCGGACCTGCTGCTGCTGCTGCTAAGAGCAGCGCGAGTCTGTCTGATAGCTTCATCTTCTTCCGTCTGTGTGTGTTGTGATGCAAGCGAATGTGTATGTAAATTGAGAAAACAGGAGACGGTCAATGAGAGGATCAGATGAGATGATGAAAGCGAGTGTAAGTTGAAGAATCGTTCCTCTCTACCTCCCTCTGGTTATAGAAAAGTTTCCTGGCCGAGTAAGAAGAGGAAGACCGGTGGGCGGAACGTCTAATTTTCCTTCTTATCTCGAGAATAAGGAGCAGATCAGACGAACTGCGAAGGCTACTCCATTGAACCTCAAGTCTAATCAATTCCGCTATCCATTTACCTTTGGATGCCCATGTATGAGTTTAACAACAAAGGCTCTCACAAACCTAAGTTACTGCGATGGACATCCCAGTTCTGACAGGAAACACAGGCAAGAGGGTGGATGGATGGATGGGATATGTGACCGGCGGGCCTTGGCATTGTTTGAACCATATCCTCGGGCCCCCTCCCCAGTCCCCACGAAGTTTAAGTTTAATGTACATCAGATGCGCTCCCGTCGCTGTTAGATTTAAACATTTCTTGGCTTTAGTCTGTGAGATCTGGCTTTTGGACTGGCAGTGTATGGTATACGGACACTCAAGTAGCGAGAGTCCGAACGATCTATCCTACCTAAGCCTGCGAGACCCGTGGGACTTGGATGTTGATCTGGCACTTGACGCATAGACCAATTGAAAGTCTAGAAATTCGCCGGACTAGGCGATGAGATTGTGGCGATGTCAAAACCCGAGCATATCGACCAGAGAGAAACACATCGGACTCGGTTGCGCTAGTCACTCGACTTGAGTTATGGTTCCTATCGACCGTAGATCACCAGCGTTAGAGTCGATAGTTTGTATATCCTTAGCCGTCGCACGCTTAGAGGGTACTGCTGGCAGCCCCTTCTCCCATGTATATAAGATGTGAGGTGGTGTCTGAACCTCGTCAGCACACCAGCCAGATAGCTTTACCTCCTAGCCTTTACTCTGCCCTTCACACAATCTGGGGCTGTCTCGCTCTAGAGTCCGGTAGCCTGCCTTTTGACAAGCGTAAACACCACTTGACGTTTACTGCAGTGATGGCCATTAAACTTCACTTGAACACGATTCATAATATGCATTATATCGAGCTGCAGAGACATTTTGGCACGTCAGACCCGGCGGCCTTCTCACCCTAAAGAGGGCGAGGAATGTGGTCATTGCTTTAGAATGCTGTTGTACACTAGTACAGGTTTCAGTAGCGACTGTCCGTTTTGGCTGCTTCCCTCCATGACTTTGACGAACTCTTCTGTTCCCGTCGCTGGAGATGAATCCATCCACATCCCAAGATATATGAACGTATCAAGTGAACCCGAATCCCTTGGTATCTTTGAAGACGCCCAGAGGAAGGATCGTTTTGGTGAATGACGGACTCCCTCCTCGCGTTACGCCTTTGCTTGCTTCTCATCGTTTCAAAAAGTCCCCAATCCAACATTTCATGTCGAGCAAATTACGAGTACAAAAGGCGGCAAATAAGCCGCCGTATTATGATGCAAATGTGGCCATGCATGAGAGGCCAAAGGATCAGTCCTCAATGGCGTTCTCATCCACGGGCTTTGCTGGGCTGGTCATGCCTGCCTTGACATTGCCACGGGCCTTCTCCTGACTCTCGACGAACCGATCCCAGTGCATGGGATCAAGTGCTCGAAGTCCCTCACGGACCTGATCGCGGTCCTCGTTGAAGACGCGCATGATGCCCTTTTGTTCAACCTTTTGGGTCAAATCAGGCTCATCAATCTCTTCAATCATCTGGTGAAGCATAGCTGTGTGCTTAGGGTCGAGGCCAACTTCGAGTACACCACTCAGCAGACCGTAGTACTCGGGCTTGATAATTCCAGACCGAATCTTGTGGCCGGCCCTGTGCATTCTACCCTCTTCCTCGGCGAGTGCTTTCGAGGTATGCGACAACGTCGAATTCGTGCGCGGCAGACCAGGCCGGACCGATAAGCCGGTCTCGTCCTCGGCATCGGACGGAATGCTGTGCTGATCAGGATCCTCCGTCGAGGATAGCGAAGTCCCGAGTTGGTCACTCTGGCTGGGCAAGGTGGTCTCCGATGCCTCATCTGTGGACACGCGGGTTTCAGGAAATTCATCTTCGAACCGCTTGATAATGTTGGCAAGTGTAACGTCGAGGAACATCAACTTGCGCAGGTTGTGCTCATCTTCCTGCGGATTGACTCTAGCCTTGGACAGTGCTGGCTGCAGCCTCTGACGAATCTTGCGGGCGCTGGCCAGTAGATGCTTCGACATATCCTTGGCCTTTCCTGGAGGTAGCTTCGGTCGCGGGCTCGCAGGCACTGGGACGCCATCTTCGAAATCCCGGATGAACTCGCCAGATTGCCTTCTCGATTCATCTCCCCTGTTCTTGAGACAGCAAGTGAGAGCCTTGACAACACCGGTGCCTCCAATGACATAGTCATCGTCTGGCGCGGACTCGTTGTCCGAGTCTTCTCTGAGAACGTCGTGGCCGACGAGATGTGCGAGTACATCGGGATAAGGTGGGATTGGGCCGCCTGGCAACGAGTCCTGAGATTCGGCTAGGACTGTTGAAATGACCGCGCTTATGTCGCCAATGGGGAATCGCTCCATATTCCGCAAGCAGTAGGCGACCACTTGCTTGGCCAAAGCCTTGACGACCTCGCCGGAATTGTCGCTCGGTACATCAATGTCGACACACACAATAGTCTTGGAGACACGTGTAGCAGCAAGGAAGGATGCATAGAGCGCACAAGCTTCCTCCTGGGCATCCTCAGTCTTGGCATCTGCAAGTTTGACGAGCTCTGGATTCTCCAGAAAACTAATGTGGGCGAGCATTTTAGCCTCAGGGAGAATCTCGGCAAGCGCAATAGCTTGCTCGGATGTCATGGCGACATCAGCGAGGTGAACACGCCGGAGTCCCTGTAGCTTTGGTAGATACCTAAATGTTGTCAGCTTCATAATCTCGTTGAGTGAATCGGTATGACTTACTTGCGCAAGAGACCAATGGCACTGGGATCCGATTTGCACAGATCCCGATTGTGGGAAAGGTCAATAAAGCGGAAGTCTTTGAGCTGAGCAAGCGCAGGGAAAATCTTGCAAAGCGAGCCAGGTTTCAAGTTGCACTCAGCCAGACTGAGCGCCCACAAAGAGTCCTTTTCTGAAATTGCATTGGCAATGATGTCAGTTTGATCTCTTAGATCGTTGCCGCCCAAGTCTAGGCCCTCGCATCCGCTTGTGGACAGATATCTGGCAACATGCCTGAGTCCCTTTTCGTCAATGTTGTTGTGAGCAAGACCAAGTCGTTTTACGCCACACTGAATGATACCGTCTATTACCACGCCGAGATCATTCGAGTTGAGGTTAGTCTCTCCGAGGTTGAGTAGTTCCAATGTAGCGCCGCCCAGTCGTTCGCCAATGGCCTTGGCAAACAGGGTCGCGCATATGTTTTGGGGTTGCTCGTCATTGGAGTTATGTCTGAGCAAGTGGTGTCCATGCCCGTTTCCGTTTTGTGCCGGTTGAGTAGGACGGGGGAAGGATATCGTGGAGAGGTCGAGGAACTTGAGCGTTCGGCAGAGGTAGATGAAGAGGAACATGTGCTTCCAACCCTCGGGTCCAATCTTGTTGTTCTTGAGGACGAGCCGTTCAACGAAGCCGCCCTGTGTAGTGAGACCATCTGCCTTGGCTTGCTTCCGCCTCTTCGAATCAGGCTTCTTCGCAGCCAGGAGACCGGCCAATATCACCCTGACGCCTTCATCTGTCAGGCCGCAGTTCTCCAAGATAACCTCCTTAACCGGCACGACCGCCAAGTAATCGCCCAGAGTGATCAAGTCAGGGAGCTGCATCCAGTAGCCCGTCAAATCCAACTTCTGCACCATTCCTATGTCGGAAGAGCAATTTGAAGGGCTATTCAGTTGTTCGGTGATCTTCTTGAGAATGGGTGTCTCTCTCAACTGGCAGCAACGGCGGTATATCCTCACCGGGTTTGTTGTGGGAGACGCTGTCGTCTTGGGCGTTGCGGCTGGGGTGCCTTCGCTGGAGGAGTCGCTATCGTCGACGTGGATTTCCATGGGAATCGTGCCGTTAGCCTCAGCTTGTTTCCGTTTCTTCTCTTTCCTTGCTTTCCTCTCCTCTTCGCTCTTCTTCTTCTTTTCCTTCTTCTTGGTGTCTTTCTCCTTATCCGCGGATGCAGCGCTTACACCGCTCGCGTCATCCTCCTTGGTTTTGGCCGAGTCCACCCCCTCCGTTTCTGGTTCTTTTGGCACGGTTTCACCCGTTGTATGGATGATGCCATCGCGCTCCTTTTGCTGCTCCAGACTTTTCGGGTTCTTCAGTGCCTCGCCCTCACCCTTCTCCGTCATCTTCTTCGTTTTCGACTTCTCGAGTGGCTTCTTGACGGGCATATCTGTATCGACGTACTTAGGCATCGGCGCAATTTCGACATCAACGCTGAATGCAACCCTCCGGAGTTTCGCCTGATGCAAGTCCGAAATTTGACAACGTTCGCGGTTGCGGTCAACGTTCAGAATCTTCCGCTCTACCAGGCCGTGTGTTCCTCTCGTTCCTTGTCCTAGGACACCGCCAGACGAAGACAGTCGGCGGAAGACCCCCAGAAAACCGGCCTGGCCGCGCCCGGGAGGTGCCGGGGTGTAAGGCTGGTCGCCATCGTTTTTGGCGGCATGTGCGAGCACGGCGTTCTTTGCAGGAGTCACTTTCGGGGGTACTGGACCAGAGTCCTTTGGCGGCGTGCTTTGTGCTTGCTGGTTTGCCTGGGCAGTCTTGCTGTCTGGTGAAGAGGAAAACTTGGAAGAGATGTTGGAAAACCACGAGTTCCGGCGGGTTGGCGGAGTACCGTTCGGCCCTGGTGATTTTTCGTTCGACGGACTTCTACCTAAAGGCGGTCTCGAGACTGGGATAGGTTTTGATTCTTCTGTTGTCGCTTTCGCAGTGTCGGTTGTGCCGTTGGTGTTCCCGTTGCCAACGGGTTGGCCGATGGTCGGAGAAGGGAGTGGTGATGACTCTTTGGGTGCGGACGTTGAGGATCGCCGTATGGGTAATGATTTCGGCGGTCTGTCTGTGAGGCGCATCTTGGATTAGCAGGGGAAGGATTTGGGGACTTGAGTAATTGAAAATAATGCGCGATGGAGAGGTAGGAGAGAAGGTGGAGGGAAGTGATGGGCTCTTGGATATATCCACAGGCCAGGCACGAGAGACCCAGAGATGTGGTCGACAGTGGCAAGCGCTCGTAGGTCGAGGCCGAGCTGCTTATCTGGGTCGACTTGGCTTGGGATGCGGGTGCAGGCAGGGCAGCGTTGGCGAGCGCGATATGAGTGGTGAGTGGGTGACTGGGGGTCCAGCGCAATAGCCAACTAGCTGCCCTGGAGAATGAGGTCAGATGGGACGTTTTGCATACCTTTCGGAGAGCCGCCGTGGGTCATCCAGCTAACATCTACTCCATGAACCTGCTCCATAACGATTGTCGCAGAGATGCTGTGCAAGGGTAGAATACAGGTCAAGGACCGAAGAAGCCGCAAAAGGGCCCCAAAAAAGAGGCACGAAGTCGTCCGGGCAGGCGAAGAGGGGGCGACGATGAGAGAGGAATGCTTGGCGGAGGAGGTGAAGAAGAAGGTGGTGGTGGTTGTCACTTCTTCGATTTTGGCGCAACAGAAAGGGATGAAATAGTTGCGCGCGCAGGCCGGGCAGAGGGTGACTTTTGGGTTGATTTCTAAGAGGAGGCGGAAGCGGGAGGTGGAGGGTACTTCGTAGTGTACTCGGAGGTTCGTTGATTATTAGCCCCGGTTCCTTGGACACCACCTTGGATCCTTCCGGTAAGTCGATTCGGAGCAAGAGCGGACAGAAGCTGCCTCGCTTTGCAATCGACGGTCCAGCTCTGGAAAAGCCGGGTTAGCTGGCGTGAAAGGGTGTGGTAGGGCGAGCGTGGGATGTTGGTCGAGGACGGGAGAGAAGGTACGAATAAGTCGTGGGCTCGCGGTGGTCTTGGGTGATGGCAGGGACCAAGTACTTGGGGGAGACTCGCAGGTTCGGAAACCTCACGTCAGGGTCCGGGTCCGGATGGGGAGGGGAGGGGAGGAGAGGAGGGGGAACGGCAGGTATTCGTAGCTACGTACTCCGCACTGCCGCTGCGGTAATGCCTTCCTCAGTTCCTACCCTTGGTACCTTCCATTGGGTTCGCAATAAAAACAGTGAGCGCAATCAGGAAGCAGCCAGAGAGTCCGTACCTTGCCGTAAGGTTCCTTGAAGGAAAGGCCGGACGTGGCAGCTTTAGCGGGGGGTTCATTAACCTTTTTAGAGGCAAAGCATCTCGTCATTGGCAGGAGATGAGCGGCGCCATGGCCCAGGCTGGTTGGTTTTTGGAGACTTCACTTTCACCCGAGGGGCCACCCGGTCTTGGCTGGCCTGAGGTACCTACCCAAACACATGGGCTACTCTGTAGAAGAAGAACCCCCGTACGGGAGTCCAATGTCGTGCTTTCCTCCGCCATTGCTGACTGTTGTCAACTTGTCACCACTTGTTCATCGCCAATGAAACAAGATGCAATGGTTTCCCGCCCTGAGGCACATTTACAATTTGCGATACAGGCCCACGGAAAGCAAGAAAGGAAAACCAAGAGGAAAAGAGGCTTTAACGGCATCCAAACACAAATTCAACTATCCCTGGCGATATATACCGTCCTTCACCTGCCGTCCTCCCAGTATCCTGGCCCGATGGGAAGTCCCGTGTCAACAACCTTCAGACGGACGGACATCTTATGCCGCAATCTTCCCCGGTATGTTTTTTCATGCAGCACTGACGGCCCTTGTTTTTTTTGGTTATTTTTTTGTGTCTTTAACCACCAATGTTCCTAGACTTCTTGCGTACCTCAATTTGGTCAAATACTCCCGTCTTCCGCGGTTCGCTCCATCCTGGCCCCAAACTCCCCTCTCGTGGGCACTGCCAACTTGGGAGATCAGATCCCCGGGTAAGAACCTCGGCCCGCCATATTGAGACGACCAGCACTGCAGCTGGGCTTGAGATAGGACATCTGTGGGGGAAACATCACACACGCACACTCAACTGTTACTGCGTACGGATACTGCGCCTGTCCGTGCCTCCTCACCGCACGCAGCAGGACCTGACACGGCCAACCGCCAGAGGCACCGGTATCGCGGTTTTCGTCCTCCGTGGATGGCACATAGCTTGGCTCCAGGACCCATGTACTTTACCACCGACTTCGTACTTGTAGGGGACCTCCGCCGCCCTACAGTCAGCAGGTAGCCAGTGGATTGCTTCAACTCTCCTCTGGTTGGATGCCACTGCCGGCCCTCTCCACTCGTCAGCGGGGATCATGAACGTCAGGAGAGCGAGAGAGAGCAACCTGGAACTCTCTCAGACTCTCACTCTCAGTCTCTCGAGACTCCCCCCCCCCGTGTGCTGCTAACTTGCCCCAGCTGAGTTACCTTCATTTCGGCGCCAATCGCCTGGCATCCACGACAAGGCGACCCTCACTGGTCACCACACATAGTCACACACAGCCTTCACTCTCCATTCGCAAGCGGACGAACAGCCCTGCATCTTTCTGCAACCTGCCACTAGAACCGCACACTACTGCAGAGTCACAGGAGGACGTGGGCTGGACGCAGATGGGGGCTCTTATTAATCGCGCGCCTCTTGACCACCGGACTGACCACACAGCTCACCCTTGGGGCGGCGGGCCTGCCAAGTCATTGACAGTTGAACGCTGGACTCTACGGAATAGAGTGACTGGGCTCGCTCAAGCATCCTGCACGTTGTCAAAACAAGCCGCCAAACGCCCGCGCACAAGCCAGACAAAGTTCACACTTGCCATTTGCAGTCATAACCTTCACATTTAGGTGCACTACCTACCTACTACCCCATTGTACACTACCGCGTAAGTACAGCGGCGTCGATTCGGGGTCCAGATGCACTCTTTGATCTTGCAGTGATTTGGAAGAAAATGGGCCACCAGTCCACGAGCATAAGTACGGATACACAAGACGGGCCACTGTCGACCATGGAGTGACCGGCTGACCGCCCCATGAGCATCGCGAGATCACGGGCCCTTACTCAACGGAGCTGCCGTTGGGGGACTCCCCTGCTTTAACATCCAGCGGTGTCCCTTCGTCTAAAAGGGGCAGACAAACGGACACCGCTACAATACCAGGGACTCTCACTCACCCACTCTCGAACGGAACCTTGCGTGGCGACACATCGGAGCGGTTGTGGGCTCTTGTCTCCTTCTGCAGCAGTGTGCCGTATTTCCCAGCGTACCATTCCTTTATTTTTCAACCGGATGAAATGATGTGCTTCGGGTCTGGGACTCCAGGTGGGATTTCCGCCTCTCGCGACCCTCCCATCCCCGCGCTATGCCCTCCGTTCATCCCGTAATTCCCGCGCGCGACGTGACGAAATGCGAATCTCGGCTCGTGTCTCTCATCGTTGACTTCCTCGAATTGGCGCATAGCTGCAGTGTGCCAGTGTCTCCTAAGCTCCTCTGAAGTCCCTTGTCATTGCCGGAGAGATCCAAATTGGATCTCATGGTGTCTCCTCAATTTTACCTATGTCGCCATACAAAGTTTTCGGACGCTTTGTGGGACCAGACGGGAATCGACCCATCTCTGCCTCGCAGCAGTAGCGGCATGATTACCTGGTCAAGGGGGAAAGCGAGGAGGCTGTGACCCATCTCAGATTCAACATCTCTCACGATAGTCTGTACGGAGACCCGTGCCGACATCATCGCGAGGTGTATGAAGCCAATGGCCCTTTGCACTATCCCGGAACCCTCCGGGGCTCCAAAAGTTTTGCAGATGCCATCATCTCTTGATTCTCGTAAGAGATCGACGCATTTCCCCCAATGCCGTCTCGCATGATCTGATATCATTGGTGCTCCTATGCGGGGTCCCATGCCCTCCCTCTTTTTTTTTTTTTTTTTGTGCCTCACCACCACAGTGATCACACACGCCTGCCAATCTGCGTCACCTTGCGGCCGACAGGTCCATCGCCTGTCACGGAGTGCATCGAGTCCGACTAGCGAGCGATCAAGCATTTTCAATCGTGCCGCCGAGACATGAGACGGCACCGCGTTACAGTAGCGCCGTCTCCTCACGCACGTTTTCGTTTTGACGTAGACCGGCATCGCTGTGATTGCAAGAAGACGAACGGTTACCTGCGCTTAGGAGAGGGTTGGCTTGCTGTCACTTATCATGTTCCCCTCATTCGGACAAAAACATTTCAATGGATGGTCAATAGCTTTTGACGTCTGGCATTTGGGGTATTCTTATTGAATTCTCGAGGAGTCTTTTTTTGTGACTCCTCCCGTGACCATCATAATCCTCCTTCCGGATTTTTGTTTGCCTGATTAACGCCCGAAGAAGACTGAAGAAAAGTTGTCATGCCATAACGTCAAATGCCTTGCCCAGATGCCAAACCCCACCACGAATGAATTAAACCGCTTTGCTACTACAGAAAGGGAAGAATTTACTCGGCACGGTACGCAGCGATGCGCTCCTTGACCTTCTGCTCCTTCTCCTCCTTTGTGAGGCGCTTGGTCTTGTACTTCTTGGACTCGGCCTTCCACTCCTCCTTGGTCTTCTTGTTTCCGGACTCCTCCTTCTTCCAGGGGTCCTCGCGGATGGCGGCGTGGGCCTCGGTGTAGAGCTCCTCGAGACCGTCAGCCTCGACGTCGTCGTCAATGTACTGCTGGAACTGGGACTTGTAGCGCTCCTCGTCGTCGTCGGCGAGGGTCTCCATGTACTCGGCGACGTGCTGGCCGAAGATGTAGTTCTTGAGGGTCTCGGCGTCGAGCTCCTTGGACTCGATGTCGTAACCGGGGAAGCGCTTCTCGGAGTGGGGAACGAGAATGCCACCGTCAGAGGCACCCTTCATGGCGCCGAAGACACGGGCACCGGTGGAGGTGCGGTGGAGACCGACGTCGAGGTTGGCCTTGAAGGGGCGGCGCTCGCCGTCGTCGGTCTCGGCGGCCTCGGTGAGGGTGTACTCACCATCGGCCTCCTCAACACCAGTGAAGGTCTTGTCAAGGCCGAGCTTGGAGAGGGCACGGCGGGCGATCAGGAGACCGGTGGCGTAGGCGGCGGCCCAGTTGGTGAGGCCGTGGGTGATGCCGTAGGCGGGGAGCTCGTGAGCGTAGGCAGCGACGAAGACCTTGTCGCCGGTGAGCTCAGAGGTGACGATTTGCATGATGATGTCCCGGTTGGTGAAGCGGACCACAAGACGGTACTTGGGGGCACCGTACTTGTTCTTGGCCTGGGTGATCAGGCGCTTGCGGGCATAGTAGTCGGTCTTGCCGGATCTTCTACGCTTGTACTTGGTCTGGAAGCGACTGGAGTGGAAAGGTCAGCCAACTCTGATCTCGAAAGAACCTATGAATGGGGATCTCTAAAGTGATTTGAGACTTACCTGTAGTACGCGCTGTTCTTCACCAACTTGTGGAAAGCCTGTGTACGAAAGATCCCGAGTCAGCAATTTGCGCTTCAGATATGGCCTGTTGACCCGAAGCATCTTGCGTTGACTCTCAATCCCATGAGACATTTCTGTCTGCTATTGGGGGCCATTTCTTTTTCGCCATTGCTGGCTAGAAAGAGGAGGTTTTTGTCGCAATTTGTCGTTCGGCCATTTTTCAGGCTTTTGACGAGCTGATGGTTGATGTATCAACTTACCATCTTGACGGTATATGAGCGGGCGGTTGGCTCAAATTTGTCGGTGTGGGTGGTTGTCGAAGGGGGTTGTCAAGAGTGAAAAAAGTTCCAAGGCACAACTTCGCGATAATATTCCTCTGTGGGTTTTGGGGCAGCCCTAGATTGTGTGGCCCCACCTCTCCCCTCTCGATTGTCACTCCCAAAGCAGGTCGGGGACGAGTCACGTGGAGATTGGACTTTGGCCGGGGACGACATGGTCTGTGCACTTATGCTTACCTCATCTCGAGTGACCTCTCAATTCCTTCAGTGCCTTAGTGCTTTGGGCCGAGGTCCACTGGTACAATCCGCACCGAGGTGGGGGCTTTCCCCAGGTTTCGGCCCCCCAACCCATCGCTGCTCTCCACGACTTTCAACGCTGGCCCGAGTTGTGGGTTTACTATAACTACTTCGTAAGAACATAGATCTGCCGTTTCTCGGAGCCATGCAGTCCTTAGAAGAGTCTGATACCTTTCTGATTGATCACGTTCTCGAGGCTGTAGACGATATGACAGACTCCAAGCAGCCCAAGGTGCTTTTATTCGACATTGGTGGTGTGTGTGTAAGTAGCACCCTGTGATTTCTTTCTGCTCAATAGCCTCCAAGTCACCAATGCGTTGTTGTTAATCATGCGTATCATATCATATTTCAATGACGGCCAATTTTCTGACTTGACAAGGTCGTATCACCATTTCAATCCATCCTAGATTATGAGCTCAGTCTCGGTATCCCGCCAGGATGGGTGAATTACTCCATCTCCAAGACAAGTCCTACGGGCTTTTGGCATCGCCTTGAGACGGGCTCAATACCCATGGACCAGGCCTTCTTTGACGGCTTCAGCAAGGACCTTCACGACCAAGGCCGCTGGGAGGCATTCTACGCCGCTCAAAAAGCAAAGAATCCATCTCTCCCTAAGGAGACGCCACCCTTACCTACCGTCGACGCCAAGTACCTCTTCAACACCATGATGGCCAACTCAATTCCCCCGGACCCGTGGATGTACCCGGCGCTGAAAAAGCTCAAGTCCAGTGGGAAGTACATCCTCGCCGCGCTGAGCAACACCGTCATTTTCCCCGAGGGTCACAAGCTGCATAGAAAAGACTTCATGGACGACCCCGTTCGCAGCTTGTTTGACGTGTTTGTCTCTTCGGCACATGTTGGTTTGAGAAAACCGGATCCGAGAATGTATCACCTCGCGCTGGAAAGGCTGAACGAGTACGCTGCCCAGAATGCGAGCTCTGAGAGAGGCCAGGCGCTCAAGTGGAGCGAGGGCATTAAACCACAGGATATCGTGTT